ATTACTGAAAGCAGGGAAGAGACAGTGTCCTATAGTAAGCAGAATCTTTATTAAATAGCTTTATTTAAATAAATGATACTCTAACCCTGATAAAACAAATGAATCTGTCATAATGGTCTCTACTAGTCATTATCTACACACAATATGAAGGCCCAATAAGAAAAAATACAACAACCTATATAAAATATGATTTATGAAAACACTTCCACTAAATAACAGACAAATCCAAATGTCCAACACAAGCTGTAAATTTAAAGCGGGTTGCATTCCAGACCAGTTCAGCTGGAAGACGTATAATGTCTCTGATAAAAACAAATAAAATCAAAAGTGGGATGTATCTGATGTGTTTTGTGTCGTAAAATAAAGTGTGAAAGTATCTTGAGTTTGTGGTAGCAACAAACCTTATTTAAGTGATTTAACCAAAACCACATTTTACAAAACCCATTGACTTTGGGACAAGGGAACCGGAATTCGCTTCAGGATTTTTGCATAAAAATTGACGTCATAGTTCCTCCACTCAATTATATTCATTCCAGCACTTACTCTGCAGTGTGGCTAAAGCTTCTTCATCGCTGTTGATGATGATGGTCTGCTGTGAGGGGACGGAGCGAGCTTTACGGGGAGACGGCTCCTGAGTGTGAAGCCTCTCCATGTGGATGGCCGTTACGGTTGAACCTAAAAATAATTTATGAGAGTTTCAATATGAGGGGCAATGTGTTTCTTTGTTTAATTTGGGGAAACATTTATGATTGTGTCTGTATTAATAATGTAAACAGTACAAATTCTAAGATTTGCTAATTTATTTGAATGATTCTTTCTCAGTTGCTCACCTTTAGGCGCACACCTGGTAGGAGTAAGGCTTCTCGTTGGTGTGTGTCATCATGTGGTGTCGCAGGTCTTTCATGTTTTTAGAGGCAAAACTGCAGCTGGTGCATTTATGAGGCCTCAAATATGCATGCAAGGCCATGTGAGTCTAGGATAAAATATATATATACACATTTATATTTATTATACACAGGCAGAGACTTTAATACAAAGCTACTTCCCCTACACTTACGTTTTGTCAGTCTGTGCGCTTTTTTAAACACAATGTTATATTAAAGTGCCTTCATTTTGTTTTGCAAGTCAAATGATTTACACCCATTTGCAACAGATTCTGAATCTTTTCTCAGAGTGTCTGAAACAAATAATTTAAGGATCCTGTCTCTTTAATAGCTACATTCAGAGAGGGTATTATTTTCTGAAATCTGAAAAATCTTTTCCTCATAGGGATAGATATGCAAATAATAAGTTACATAATAAGTTACATATAAATATAAATATGGGGCGAGGCGATGGATCCCGATGCCAGCTCAGCACCGTGAAGTTTGTCGGCCATCTGCGATAGAAGATGGCATCGTCTATCGGCACAACCCTAGCGTCTGCCGTCAAAGAGTGTTTCACTCTTCGAAAGTCTCAGTTATTATAAATGAGTTCTTCCTGTGTTGCGTCGTGAAGTGGCACAAAAGGGCTTTTCACCTGGGTAAAGACAAACAGACATGATCAGAAAACATTCCACCAATTTAACTAAGGCATAATTGTTGACAGGCATTGAATTGTTAGAAAAGTACTGCAACTTCAATAGATCAGAGTCATTTATCCCACTTGTACTACAGTTACCACACCTAAAGCCTATAGTTTTACTGTGATGAGATTTCTGCCATTTGTGGTCTATGAAACAATTGAAATCATTCAGCATAGTGCCTGCCTGGAACTTCTTTAGCTGTTTGATTCCATAAAAATAAATTGCAGACCTCAAAATGTTCATTAGCCAATCAGAATCAAATATTGAACAGCCCTGTTTCATTATTGGTAATGAAAAATTGTGAACTCGATTGAGCAAATCATACATTCTCATGCATATCTTGTCAGGGAGGCATGGTGTGATCTATAGTAAATCTCTGCCAAAAGCCAGAGGGTGCTCTCACAGAAACCCCAAATGCCCATAAAGAAACCCAGGAAATACCACTAGCACTTGTTGAATAAACAGAATATTGTACTATTTTGAATTCTCTAAAGCTACAGAAATTTAACGTGCAAAACATGAAATAGGTTAGGACCTTAATTAGGTTGTTTACATACCTTTAAATCAGTGTTTCTCAACCACGTTCCTGGAGGACCACCAACACTGCATGTTTTGGATGTCTAATTTGTCACATCTATTACAGGTCTTTCAGTCTCTGCTAAAGAGCTGATGATCTGACTCAGGTGTGTTTGATTAGGAAGATTTGGAAAATGTGCAGAGCTGGTGGTCCTCCAGGAACGTGGTTAAGAAACACTGCCCTAAATGGTCTGTAATGCCGTAATTTCAAGTGCAGCCTTTATTACACAAAGTTTGAGAAGTGATGCAGCTGTCATTATCACAGAATGATTATTTGTTTGTCATTATCAATAGATTAAATCTAATCAGAGTTTTGCATAGCTTATCAGTGTAAATAACTCAGTGTAGTGTGTAGTAAAAGCTACTGCATCTGAACGCATGTGCTGGATGTTTATTAGAACCAGCTTTACTGAGAAAATGCACAAATTATTGTCTGCTTTTAATCGCCCAGCCCTATTGGAAGTATAAACAGTCCTAATAATTAAAAACATCACAAGAACTTGCAGAACTCACACTTAAACCTGACAAAGGATCACAGATAGAAATAGATACTATGACTGTTCATCAAACAAGTAAACATTTTTATAGGGAAACAAACATATATACTTGTCCAGACATCTCAATTACAGGCTGTTGCCACAGTTTTGTATGTGTGTGAAAAGATGCATTTTGAAAGTGTACCGCTTCTTTTCCCAAACTGCAAAGCAACACATTTACACTAGTGTTAACATAGTAAATGAAAAGCAGTGTTTCCTGCCTGTGTTAGAGCTGCTCTACAGAGAATCACTTCCTTCAACAATTACTATTATATTGAAGTGGACTGAATCCTCATTAAACCAACCATAACAAAACAGGCATTCGGTGGAATTGAACATGTCTTATGAACTCAGCTTTTTTCCCTCCAGAGTTTATTTGCAGCATTCAAAAGCTTTACCTTGTCACACATGTGAGGTTTCTCTGTGCTGTGTGTCTTCATGTGTTGTGTCAGGCGTTTCTGCATGGGGTATACTCGACTGCAGATGGGACATGGAAACTCAGACACCTTGGAAACCTGTTAAGGGTTGAAACAAGACTGTTCTCACATAAAAAACTCTGACCTCATCAGACTGGTCAGAGTTAGTAATATATCATGTCAATAAAAGAAATTTTAAAATATTATTTCTGCATCTTAAATCTTACCACATCTATCTTTCGGCTCCTAAAAAGAAAAAACAAGAACAAGAACACTGTAATCAGGTGTGAATTGTATGAATGTGTTTTGTAATAACATGCAGACCTCTATATATATATATATATATATATATATATATATATATATATATATATATATATATATATATATATATATATATATATATATATATATATATATATATATATATGCATACAGTTAAAGTCAGAATTATTAGCCCCCCTGAATTATTAACCCCCCTGTAATTTTTTTTCTCCCAATTTCTGTTTAACAGAGAGCAGATTTTTTTCAGCTCATTTCTAAACATAATAGTTTTAACTCATTTTTAATAACTGATTTAATTCATCTTTGCCATGATGACAGAACATAATATTTGACTAGACATTTTTCAAGACACTTCTAAACAGCTTAAAGGGACATTTAAAGGCTTAACTAGGTTAATTACGTTAACTAGGCAGGTTAGGGTAATGAGGCAAGTTATTGTATAATGATGGTTTGTTCTGTAGATTATCTTGAAAAAATATAGCTTGAAGGTGCTAATCATTTTGACCTTAAAATGTTCTTTAAAAAATTCAAACTGTTTTTATTCTAGCTGAAATAAAACAAATAAGACTTTCTCCAGAAGAAAAACTATTATCACGCACACATATATATATGTGTGTGTGTGTGTGTGTGTGTGTATAACGTGGAGGTGTGGTCACTTTAAGGCGAATTAGCCAGTCAGTCAAGCGCGGCCCTGCATTAATTGTTTAAGTTATTGTGTTTTAAAAAGTCCCCGCGTGTTTTGAAAATGTTCTTTCGCGTTCCAAATGGAACCACGTAACTCTGACATCATTAGTGGCTAATTAACGCTGACTGAATCCAGCAGAAATCCTCATTGCTTCTTTGGATGACAAGTAGTTCAGTACTTACTGCGATTCCACACAACGGTGATAAAATGGCTTTTTCAAAGTTAATTTCCCGTTTAAAGAAAGCGTTCGGTATCAAGTGTGCACACAAACCACCCCGTGAGCCACTCGCATCCACCGGCAACACGGCAGAAAACCACCGTCATCCGATAACTGATGACCCGCCCGTCGTTGCAAGAAAACAGACAGGGAGACAGAAAAAGTCTTCCCTCTTCCAAGCCTGTTTCCCCAGAAGAGCTACTGTTGATGGTAAATTAGGTTTATGAATTTTAATTACTAAAAAACATACTGTTAAACACACCGAACATGTCAGAGTAGCTGTTTAAAGATAAGAAATAAAATTAACTGGAAACATTTGAGGATTTTAGGTAGTTTCTTAAAGAGACAGTTCACATAAACATGAATATTCTGTCATAATTTATTTCTCAAACCTGTTTGAGATGCTTTCTTGTGTTGAACAAAAATACTGAATTCAGCCATTGACTTACAGTATTTTGAGTTCCTACAGTGAAGTTTAATGGCTGCTGATTTCAGCAATATTCTTCAGAATAGGCATTTTTTTGTGTTTTACAGAAGAAATTCATAATTAATTGTATTTATGCCTTTGGATATATAGTTTAAACATACTTTTTATTGCTAATTATCACTTCAATACAGAAAAAACATGAAGATCAAAAATAAATATTAAATACATTGAGTGATGTTTTTGCAAATGAACTTTTCAAATATCTAATCAAAAGTTACAGAATCATATTAATGATATTCCTTCCCCTCTTTAGATCCGCTCCCTGTGCTGGAGATCCACGACCTTCAGGACGAGCCGATCAGTAGCTCGAAATTCTTCCATACAGCTGTGAACAATCTGGAGCTGGAGGTTCTCCAACCTTCTATTCCTGATGCTCCAGCAGAAGAAGACTTGGACTCCACTGTGAAATCTGAAGTGAACAGCTTTGAATCTCCAGTGAGTCAGCAGTTCTCAACAGACGGCATCTTTGAAGCGTTCAGCGGAGACTCTGTGCAGGTTGACATTGACTCTGCACTGGATGAAGACTCGGAGTCTTCACTGAATCAGAAGGTCTCACAAGATGACTCCGCTGATGATTCTGCACTGAGTCTTACAGCAGATGATGAGACCTGTTTGGACAATAGTAAGTTTATTGCTAGAATTCATAACATTTGTTTAGGCTCATCAAACATTTTAAAATTATACAGTTGAAGTCAAAATTATTCGCCCTCCTGTGATTTTTTTTCCATTTTCAAATATTTCCCAAATTATTTTTAACAGAGTAAAGAAGTTTTCACTTCCTTCATTTCCTAAAATCTTTTTTCTTATGGAGAAAGTCTTATTTGTTGTAAACTCTGTGTTTTATTTGGTTTATAATTTAATAAGATTTTGTGTCCAGTCAGCTAAATGTTCTTCTTTTTTAACAGATGACATCAGCTCCCGCTACAATCTGGGAAAGCAGCTCGGTGAAGGAGGTTTCGGCTCTGTTTTTGAGGGGATCCGCATACAGGATGGTCTGCAGGTATTCATTTCTGTAGACTCAAATTCTTTGATGAAGTTCACTATTTAAAGAACATCATCAGAAACATGCTTTCATTGTTTTGACATTTCTAAGAATTCAAATTGATGAAACCTCTGTTCAGGATTTGAATGAAATGATTTGGATGCACATGTTAATTGTTCGCTTATTTCTTTAAACAGGTGGCTGTTAAATTTGCCCAAATGACACCACGTATGCAAGATCTCTGCTCTGTAAGTACACTACACTTTCTGTTTTTCTCTTCTCAGTCACTGTGTTCAACTCAAAATGTCTTATATTTAATATTAGACAACAGGCTGTGGTTAAAAATCCTTGTTTGAAAACCAACATCATTATTTTGTTTTCAGTCTCATGACCAGCCACCTCTAGAGATCACCTTGGCAAGTATGGCCAGCAGTGGCTCCAGGTGTGCCAATATAATTCAGCTCCTAGACTGGCAGGTCTTCAAAGACCATTATGTCATGGTCATGGAGCGGCCTACGCCAAGTATGGACCTGGAGGCATTCCTGCAACTCAACGGAGGCGTCCTCACCGAGCAAACGGCACAAACTATCATGGGCCAAGCTGTTCATGCTGCCAATGTTTGCTGCTACCGGGAAGTATTCCACAGAGACATTAAGCTGCAAAACCTGCTTGTAAACCCAAACACACTGGAGGTCAAACTGATTGACTTCGGCTGCGGAGATTATATGATGGAATCAGCATACTCCACCTTTTCTGGTAGGTGTTTTGAATAGGGTTGTCAAAAGTATCGACTTCGGGACTGACATTTAAAAAATGTCCATTTGAGCGCAGTTAAACACCACTGATTGGTCATTGGTGTTCACATGCTCAGCAAATATGACAGTATCGATACTTTTGACAACACTAGTCATGAATGTACATAAGCATTATTAATATACGGTTTAAAAGCTCAGTAATTAGCACACCTGAAACCCATCTGTTATATATATCAACATGATGCTGACACATAGATTCAACTAAATGTCTCTCCTCCAGGCACAGAAGCGTACATGCCGCCAGAGTTTTACAAAAGAGGATGTTACCATGCCAAACCAGCGACTGTCTATTCTCTTGGGGTTCTTCTCTTCACATTGCTGCATGGAGATTTCCCAACGACGTATGACCTGTACTACCTGGAGCATGACTGGTCCAAATTTACCCTCTCTCAAGGTGAGATGTTCATCAAAGAACAAGTTGAAAATCAGTTTATTATCAATAATAATAATAATAATAATAATAATCTCACCTCTCCTTTTGTTTTTCACAGAATGCTGTGATCTGATGTGGGCTTGTCTGCAGCAGATTCCAGAGCACAGAATTCTTCTAGGACAGATGCCTTACCACGACTGGTTCATGCTGGAGTAGCCAGTTGACACCTTTGCTGTTAATATATAGTGTCTTGTTATTGTATTATTCACTTCTTTATTGTTACAGTTGTTTTTGTGTATGTCTCTAATAAAAATATATATTTTTGAACTCACTTGTGATGTGGCTTATATTGTGATCTAGTCCCAGTGACAAAAATCTGGCATGAGGTTTGAACAGCATCCAGTCATTTATAACACACACTGCAGTTGCCACTGGCATCATTAAGGCGCACTTTTAGAACTACACTTTTAAAGAATACAGTCCAGCGCTGACCCAAAGCCTAAACATATCAGTCACTGCGACATCAGCAAATCATCCATATAAAATTCCAATATTTTACTGTGAATTCAGAACTGTTTTTAGAAATGTTTTAAAATACAAACATCGTAACATGAGAATGTGACATTCAGATGAGTCTGTGAAAAGGCCGAAAAATGCTGTACTATTTATGTCAGGCCAGTAGTTGGCAATTTCTTTTTATAAAATACACTATGTGCCTGCAAACATATGATGTTTATAGTTTTGTTGTATTGTTAAGTAATCTGTAATCTACACTTACATGCCATGTAATCTACAAAGAAAACATTTTAATTTAAATCTGTAGCATTTTCAAAAACTTGGTCTTTAAAACCAATTTTCAAAGGTTTGTTTTCAGGCCTCTCAAAATGTTTAACAAAACAAAACAATAAAAGTTTCTGATTTAGTTAAGACATACATCATGCATTGGTTTTACTGTTAATGTTAAGTAAACACAAACAGTTCAAGTATTTATAAGCAATCATGTTACATTTGAATTACAGTAATTACAACATGAACAAAGTAAACAAGTGTGCTAGTATTGGCTCTGAACTCAACCTGTTGTTCCTGTAGAAACATCCCATCATGTTCATACTGAATGTGAGTGATTTGCCAGTCCCCCATCTGCAATTCAAAGTCAGGGTTTTAGTCATGATGATGAAAAAGCATCCAACAGACCATAAAAAGCTAAAAATGCTTCTTGGGTTGCAGTTACAGATCAGATGAGCCATCAGTGAACTGTTCATTAAAAACCATGAGGAGTTCTGGACTCTTGGGTTATGAATGATGTAAAGCACAAAGACTAACCTGAATGTGTTTCCCATGATACCAGCACATACTCTCTTGGGAGCAAATGCTGAACTCCATCCTGAGAGATGATATACTGGACCTGAGAAAAGGGAGTGGAAGAGGCAGTAAATTTAATTTTGCCATTTAACACAAGGAAATATGAGGCTTAAGGCGCTTACTGGTGTTATTTTCAAGAGTCAAAACTATAAGTGTGATTTAGCTTTAGTTTTTTATCATATATTAAAATATGTCCTGTATACTTCATCCCTAATCAAACATACACTGCAAAACTTTCTTCTTGGTCTCTAAGTAATTAAAAGATTGGGATGGAAATCTGGTTGGGAGTAAGATTCATTAAAACTATATATTGTTTTGGATGTTACTTTTGTGTATTTATTTTCCTCACCCTTCTCTCTCAGCTTCTCACTCCACTCTTAGTTTTCTTATAGGTTCAGTTAACCGTCCATCATTATTATGATGGTGCCAGATCAACCAATCCCCGGATGAGTCGCGGAGATTTAAAGCTGCTAAAGATCAGTGTTTGGTGTGCGCTCTGCCTCGGCATACCTTTGGGTGCCACGCTGTTGCATTTTTTGTCATGCTTAGGCTATTAGATGATTTATTATTTTTATTATTATTTGTTATTTACTGTGGTAATTCGAGTTTACTTGTTAAACTTTGCTGGGTTTGAGTAAAGGCTTTGATGGTTGTTGTGTGATTCTAAACTGAACTTTATGACCTTTTTGTTAGGTTTGTTTTAGTTTAGATTGATTTTTTTAGGATTAGTTTGAGTTTCGCCCCCTGTGTAGTTTTGAGTTTGTAGTTTAATTAGTTTACATCGGGTGTCGTGACTGAAGATATCGATATTATTTATTTTTGTCGCCTAGTTTAGACATTAGATTTAAGGATTGTTTTGTTTTGTTAATCTCTTTGATTTGGCGTATCATCGTTGTTTTAGTTTAAAGACAATATTGTAAATGTTTATTTCTTTTTCTACTATTATTGTTACATCTTTTGCTTAAACCATTGAGTAAAATGCTTAAATTCTGAATCAATTCCTGCCTCATCCTTGATCTGTCGCACACATTACATGTGTCTCACCTTAATGTTACAGCATTCCTTTTAAACATCATAAACTCACAACAAGAAAAAAATATAGTCTTGTTTTCACAAAAAGATGTCAACATTAAGGCAGCTTTTCATTAAAACAAAATATGAAAGTGCAAAAGCAAAATAAGCTTGTTTTTATATTATTTTGCGTGTTTTTAGGAGAAAATCACTTAATCCTAACTTTTTTGTAGACTGTCAAACTTTTTACAATGATTATGAGAAGACACAAACTAAAATATAATTCAGTGTAACAATAGATAATAGACCTAAGAATCTTATCAGACATAATTAAAACAAGAATCAGTTGATAACATGTTCCTAAACTCTATTTTAATATCATAGTTTAGCACCAAAATACAAATAAATTATTAACTGAAATCTTTATACTTTCCACTATCCTTCAAACCACAAAATTTTGCTACTTTGTCTGCAAAAGTATTTAAACAAAAAGGTTTAAAACCTTAATCACTTATTATTTTATATATTTTAGAAAATGTAGTTCAAATTAAAAATCTGTTAAAAACCAAACTTTAGAGTGTGTGTTTACTGCTTGTCTGAAAAAAGCTTTATTAATTGAGTCATACCTCAGTGACCTGGTTGTCTCCGGTCATTAAGTGCTGTACGGTCTGTCCATCTACTGTTGTGATCTGCTGAATATATGCCGCCTCCTCCTAGAAAAAGAAGCGTTTTGTCAAAAACATGCCTTTAAAACCTGAATTTATATTACATTTATACATTTACCACTTTATAAAATCTAAACCACCTTGCATTAGATACAATCTCAAATGTAAAGCTCTTCTTTGTGATTTTTCATAACCAACCAACATTAATTACAGGCTGTGAATGAGAAAGTGTGTAGCTGTGCAGTACCTGGTCAGAAAGACTTTGATCCAGAGCCACAATGATGTGTTCCTGACCCAACGCTTGCTGTAACCTCTCTGGGCTGATGACCGTTTGACCCGCCTGCAAATCTATAAATCACAAAAGAAGAAATATAATGAAACAAAGTAACAAGATGTGTCTAATAAACAGACCAGGGCTGTGTGACTACAGTATAGAGTGGAGGAACTATGATGTTCTCTTGTAGGCCAATCGGCTGCTAGCATAAAACTGGTTCCTTCAATAAAATCCCCATAAGATTTTCCTATAGACTTCTCGAAGATTGCAAATAATTAGCTCTGTGTTCAAACACAGTTCATTACACTTACACGTTTTGTCCAACAGGATAATCCTCACACAACATTTATACAGACCTACAGTACATGCCTTTTGGATAGTTTCCCAATGAGAAATACATTTGTTTTGCTTTACAGTTGGTGTATACGTTTTCAAACATGTACTGTACTGTTTTAGAAATGTGCCTATATATTCTAATCATAACAAATGTTTAAATAAGTGTATTGCCTGTGTGCACATAGCCCGTTAACCTTAGTGAAAACCTAGCTATGACTGTCAATTACAAATCCCATATTCTTTTTCATAGACGACAGAAATAAGGTCTATCAAAAAGTCTATTAAACCATTGCAAATGCCGTCATGGATAGAGAACATCAATAATCTTTTTTGTTATGAAGTACTGAGAAAAGCAGCCCATACAGTCACATATGATATACGTTCTAAGGTGAGTATAAATGAGTTTAAGGAGGAGTGTAAATATTGCATTTATAATTAAAAATTTGTTCACATGAAGAAAAAAAGACAAAAAAATCATTAGATATTGAATATTTATATATAATTTACAAATTTATTCACAACTTTTGCATTACTGAAAGCAGGGAAGAGACAGTGTCCTATGGTAAGCAGAATCTTTATTAAATAGCTTTATTTAAATAAATGATACCCTAACCCTGATAAAACAAATGAATCTGTCATAATGGTCTCTACTAGTCATTATCTACACACAATATGAAGGCCCAATAAGAAAAAAAAAACAACCTATATAAAATATGATTTATGAAAACACTTCCACTAAATAACAGACAAATCCAAATGTCCAACACAAGCTGTAAATTTAAAGTGGGTTGCATTCCAGACCAGTTCAGCTGGAAGACGTATAATGTCTCTGATAAAAACAAATAAAATCAAAAGTGGGATGTATCTGATGTGTTTTGTGTCGTAAAATAAAGTGTGAAAGTATCTTGAGTTTGTGGTAGCCACAAGCCTTATTTAAGTGATTTAACCAAAACCACATTTTACAAAACCCATTGACTTTGGGACAAGGGAACCGGAATTCGCTTCAGGATTTTTGCATAAAAATTGACGTCATAGTTCCTCCACTCAATTATATTCATTCCAGCACTTACTCTGCAGTGTGGCTAAAGCTTCTTCATCGCTGTTGATGATGATGGTCTGCTGTGAGGGGATGGAGCGAGCTTTACGGGGAGACGGCTCCTGAGTGTGAAGCCTCTCCATGTGGAACTTCAGATGTCCGTTACGGTTGAACCTAAAAATAATTTATGAGAGTTTCAATATGAGGGGCAATGTGTTTCTTTGTTTAATTTGGGGAAACATTTATGATTGTGTCTGTATTAATAATGTAAACAGTACAAATTCTAAGATTTGCTAATTTATTTGAATGATTCTTTCTCAGTTGCTCACCTTTAGGCGCACACCTGGCAGGAGTAAGGCTTCTCGTTGGTGTGTGTCATCATGTGGTGTCGCAGGTCTTTCATGTTTTTAGAGGCAAAACTGCAGCTGGTGCATTTATGAGGCCTCAAATATGCATGCAAGGCCATGTGAGTCTAGGATAAAAATATACATATACACATTTATATTTATTATACACAGGCAGAGACTTTAATACAAAGCTACTTCCCCTACACTTACGTTTTGTCAGTCTGTGCGCTTTTTTAAACACAAAGTTATATTAAAGTTCCTTCATTTTGTTTTGCAAGTCAAATGATTTACACCCATTTGCAACAGATTCTGAATCTTTTCTCAGAGTTTCTGAAACAAATAATTTAAGGATCCTGTCTCTTTAATAGCTACATTCAGAGAGGGTATTATTTTCTGAAATCTGAAAAATCTTTTCCTCATAGGGATAGATATGCAAATAATAAGTTACATAATAAGTTACATATCAATATAAATGCGGGGCGAGGCGATGGATCCCAATGCCAGCTCAGCACCGTGAAGTTTGTCGGCCATCTGCGATGGAAGATGGCATCGTCTATCGGCACAACCCTAGCGTCTGCCGTCAAAGAGTGTTTCACTCTTCGAAAGTCTCAGTTATTATAAATGAGTTCTTCCTGTGTTGCATCGTGAAGTGGCACAAAAGGGCTTTTCACCTGGGTAAAGACAAACAGACACGATCAGAAAACATTCCACCAATTTAACTAAGGCATAATTGTTGACAGGCATTGAATTGTTAGAAAAGTACTGCAACTTCAATAGATCAGAGTCATTTATCCCACTTGTATTACAGTTACCACACCTAAAGCCTATAGTTTTACTGTGATGAGATTTCTGCCATTTGTGGTCTATGAAACAATTGAAATCATTCAGCATAGTGCCTGCCTGGAACTTCTTTAGCTGTTTGCTTCCATAAAAATTAATTGCAGACCTCAAAATGTTCATTAGCCAATCAGAATCAAATATTGAACAGCCCTGTTTCTTTATTGGTAATGAAAAATTGTGAACTCGATTGAGCAAATAATACATTCTCATGCATATCTTGTCAGGGAGGCATGGTGTGATCTATAGTAAATCTCTGCCAAAAGCCAGAGGGTGCTCTCACAGAAACCCCAAATGCCCATAAAGAAACCCAGGAAATACCACTAGCGCTTGTTGAATAAACAGAATATTGTACTATTTTGAATTCTCTAAAGCTACAGAAATTTAACGTGCAAAACATGAAATAGGTTAGGACCTTAATTAGGTTGTTTACATACCTTTAAATAAGTGTATCTCAACCACGTTCCTGGAGGACCACCAACACTGCATGTTTTGGATGTCTAATTTGTCACATCTATTACAGGTCTTTCAGTCTCTGCTAAAGAGCTGATGATCTGACTCAGGTGTGTTTGATTAGGAAGATTTGGAAAATGTGCAGAGCTGGTGGTCCTCCAGGAACGTGGTTAAGAAACACTGCCCTAAATGGTCTGTAATGCCGTAATTTCAAGTGCAGCCTTTATTACACAAAGTTTGAGAAGTGATGCAGCTGTCATTATCACAGAATAATTATTTGTTTGTCATTATCAATAGATTAAATCTAATCAGAGTTTTGCATAGCTTATCAGTGTAAATAACTCAGTGTAGTGTGTAGTAAAAGCTACTGCATCTGAACGCATGTGCTGGATGTTTATTAGAACCAGCTTTACTGAGAAAATGCACAAATTATTGTCTGCTATTAATCGTCCAGCCCTATCTGAAGTATAAACAGTCCTAATAACTAAAAACATCACAAGAACTTGCAGAACTCACACTTAAACCTGACAAAGGATCACAGATAGAAAGAGATACTATGACTGTTCATCAAACAAGTAAACATTTTTATAGGGAAACAAACATATATACTTGTCCAGACATCTCACTTACAGGCTGTTGCCACAGTTTTGTATGTGTGTGAAAAGATGCATTTTGAAAGTGTACCGCTTCTTTTCCCAAACTGCAAAGCAACACATTTACACTAGTGTTAACATAGTAAATGAAAAGCAGTGTTTCCTGCCTGTGTTAGAGCTGCTCTACAGAGAATCACTTCCTTCAACAATTACTATTATATTGAAGTGGACTGAATCCTCATTAAACCAACCATAACAAAACAGGCATTCGGTGGAATTGAACATGTCTTATGAACTCAGCTTTTTTCCCTCCAGAGTTTGTTTGCAGCATTCAAAAGCTTTACCTTGTCACACATGTGAGGTTTCTCTGTGCTGTGTGTCTTCATGTGTTGTGTCAGGCGTTTCTGCATGGGGTATACTCGACTGCAGATGGGACATGGAAACTCAGACACCTTGGAAACCTGTGAAGGGTTGAAACAAGACTGTTCTCACATAAAAAACTCTGACCTCATCAGACTGGTCAGAGTTAGTAATATATCATGTCAATAAAAGAAATTTTAAAATATTATTTCTGCATCTTAAATCTTACCACATCTATCTTTCGGCTCCTAAAAAGAAAAAACAAGAACAAGAACACTGTAATCAGGTGTGAATTGTATGAATGTGTTTTGTAATAACATGCAGACCTATATATATATATATATATATATATATATATATATATATATATATATATATATATATATATATATATATATATATATATATATATATATATATATATATATATATATATATATGCATACAGTTAAAGTCAGAATTATTAGCCCCCCTGAATTATTAACCCCCCTGTAATTTTTTTTCTCCCAATTTCTGTTTAACAGAGAGCAGATTTTTTTCAGCTCATTTCTAAACATAATAGTTTTAACTCATTTTTAATAACTGATTTAATTCATCTTTGCCATGATGACAGAACATAATATTTGACTAGACATTTTTCAAGACACTTCTAAACAGCTTAAAGGGACATTTAAAGGCTTAACTAGGTTAATTAGGTTAACTAGGCAGGTTAGGGTAATGAGGCAAGTTATTGTATAATGATGGTTTGTTCTGTAGACTATCTTGAAAAAATATAGCTTGAAGGTGCTAATCATTTTGACCTTAAAATGTTCTTTAAAAAATTCAAACTGTTTTTATTCTAGCTGAAATAAAACAAATAAGACTTTCTCCAGAAGAAAAACTATTATCACACACACATATATATATATGTGTGTGTGTGTGTGTGTGTATATAACGTGGAGGTGTGGTCACTTTAAGGCGAATTAGCCAGTCAGTCTAGCGCGGCCCTGCATTAGTTGTTTAAGTTATTGTGTTTTAAAAAGTCCCCGCGTGTTTTGAAAATGTTCTTTCGCGTTCCAAATGGAACCACGTAACTCTGACATCATTAGTGGCTAATTAACGCTGACTGAATCCAGCAGAATCCCTCATTGCTTCTTTGGATGACAAGTAGTTCAGTACTTACTGCGATTCCACACAACGGTGATAAAATGGCTTTTTCAAAGTTAATTTCCCGTTTAAAGAAAGCGTTCGGTATCAAGTGTGCACACAACCCCCCCCGTGAGCCACTCGCATCCACCGGCAACACGACAGGAAACCACCGTCATCCGATAACTGATGACCCGCCCGTCGTTGCAAGAAAACAGACAGGGAGACAGAAAAAGTCTTCCCTCTTCCAAGCCTGTTTCCCCAGAAGAGCTACTGTTGATGGTAAATTAGGTTTATGAATTTTAATTACTAAAAAACATACTGTTAAACACACCGAACATGTCAGAGTAGCTGTTTAAAGATAAGAAATAAAATTAACTGGAAACATTTGAGGATTTTAGGTAGTTTCTTAAAGAGACAGTTCACATAAACATGAATATTCTGTCATAATTTATTTCTCAAACCTGTTTGAGATGCTTTCTTGTGTTGAACAAAAATACTGAATTCAGCCATTGACTTCCAGTATTTTGAGTTCCTACAGTGAAGTTTAATGGCTGCTGATTTCAGCAATATTCTTCAGAATAGGCATTTTTTTGTGTTTTACAGAAGAAATTCATAATTAATTGTATTTATGCCTTTGGATATATAGTTTAAACATACTTTTTATTGCTAATTATCACTTCAATACAGAAAAAACATGAAGATTAAAAATAAATATTAAATACATTGAGTGATGTTTTTGCAAATGAACTTTTCAAATATCTAATCAAGAGTTACAGAATCATATTAATGATATTCCTTCCCCTCTTTAGATCCGCTCCCTGTGCTGGAGATCCACGACCTTCAGGACGAGCCGATCAGTAGCTCGAAATTCTTCCATACAGCTGTGAACAATCTGGAGCTGGAGGTTCTCCAACCTTCTATTCCTGATGCTCCAGCAGAAGAAGACTTGGACTCCACTGTGAAATCTAAAGTGAATAGCTTTGAATCTCCAGTGAGTCATCAGTTCTCAACAGACGGCATCTTTGAAGCGTTCAGCGGAGACTCTGTGCAGGTTGACATTGACTCTGCACTGGATGAAGACTCAGAGTCTTCACTGAATCAGAAGGTCTCACAAGATGACTCCGCTGATGATTCTGCACTGAGTCTTACAGCAGATGATGAGACCTGTTTGGACAATAGTAAGTTTATTGCTAGAATTCATAACATTTGTTTAGGCTCATCAAACATTTTAAAATTATACAGTTGAAGTCAAAATTATTCGCCCTCCTGTGATTTTTTTTCCATTTTCAAATATTTCCCAAATTATTTTTAACAGAGTAAAGAAGTTTTCACTTCCTTCATTTCCTAAAATCTTTTTTCTTATGGAGAAAGTCTTATTTGTTGTAAACTCTGTGTTTTATTTGGTTTATAATTTATTAAGATTTTGTGTCCAGTCAGCTAAATGTTCTTCTTTTTT